ATCAAACTTGCTTCATATACAATGTATTATATGTCTGACCTCTTGCACACTATATACGGATTGATGGCCCCTTTGTTATCAAAGTTTGTCTCGAGCAGAACGTCATTGCTTTGTTCCATCTACTTTCACCAAATTCTATATGCTCATATATCGGAGGAGGACAAAGTGTCACGTAATCAAGTCATTGGCTAGCAGAGTAATGTCTCTTTATTACTTTGTTATGGGGGTTTCTCATCCTTAAAAATATGTTTATTTCTTTAACCTTAACTTGGGAATGTTCTGGCATTAAGTCTGCGTTCACCAAACTTGCAATATTTTTGTATCTCAGAAAATCGAAGTGTTCGTTCTGAAATTAGGTCCCTGGTCTCACTATACACAGATTGGTGACCCTGCATTTATTTCTAATACCAATGTTTGTCCCGAAATATCTTACTTACAATATTTCACCTACATTCATCAAGCTTACTCCATTTACATTTCTTGAGAAGACAAGTTGTTGCGTAGTGAAATAAGGTCTCGCGTCCACTTAAATAAAGAGTTAAGACCCTTTGTTCATTTTACATTTTAACATTTGTTCGGAACATAACTTTCTTGCTATATCACGTACATTAACTAAACTTGATATACTTATCTATCTTTTGAATGTGGGGTATTAGGTAAGAAAATCAGGTCTCATGTTCGATTTTATACCGAGTCATATACTTTTACATTTCAAATTAAAAGGAAGATGACTTATATGAGCTGTAAGCTTGCTGTCAAATCCCTATTTCACTATGTATTATTGTATGATTTTTGCTATTTTTGCTGACTAAAATATTGTTTAAATTTACGTTTGTTTTTAACGTTTGATTGGTTTGATGTCATTTCTTTTTTTATTTACCTTATGACCTCTTTTGTGATTTGAATCCAATAACAATAATATTTGTTCATTTTCTATTCAAAAATTTGTCTGGAGCATAAGTTTCCTTGATGTTTCACCTTTGTTCACTAAACTCTGGCCTCATGCACGTTAGATAAAGAGTTCTGGGCCTTTGTTCATATTTGATATCAAAGGCTGTCCCGAGGAAAACGCATTTGTTATTTCAGATGCTTTCAGTAAACTTGCTACACTTACGTATCTTAGGGAGGCGGATTGTCGCGCAATGAAATCAGGTCTCATGCCTTTAATAATAATAATTCAAGGTTCTTATACACCGCTTTATCACAACCAAGTTCGTAAAGGTCGTCTCAAAGCAGTTCACAAATTATTATCCGTGGTTATAGTGGGTGTCTTCATGTGGTAGGAAACCGGAGAACCCGGAGACGACCGAGGTAGACGGGTAGGTGACCCTATACCTTTCACGTGCGATCGAAGAATCGAACCCCGGCTGCCTTGGTGAAAGGTGAGTGCGCTATCCACTGCACCACCCGACCACCCACAAAGAACAATATGGTCTTGGTTAGTTATTTTGATTTTCTGTGATACAATTTTCGATTGGTATGGTTTTATAAATGAGTTATTTGAAATACGGCCCATAACAAGCAGATCAACCTCACAACCTTTAGCACGCGCGTATCCGCACACATTTCGAGGTACAGAAGTGCTTAATGGGATCACGTGGTAAGATCCGCTTTAGTAAGACTGTTCTTCTACTCTCCTGAGTGTGTTAAATGAATACGTGTACATGTATGTATGCTATCACTTGGATATTAAGAGTCTCGGAAAGATATTTCCTGGAGAATCAATATTGTGCTATAAAAATACATTGTTAAGTAGTAAATATAAATAAGAATACTGCAAATCATTTAATTTTCGTGAGTATGTATTTTCTTACTTAATAAATTATAACAAAGATGACAGGAAATCAACAAATTTTCATGAGTACTTGTTTTCTCTTGTTAATGTTCTGATCAACTTTTTTCGCAAAAGAAAATCTAATTACCATGTTTTATGTGTATGAATACGTTTGATATATTTCCGTTCGCAAACTTCGTTCTCCCCAGAAAATAACTCGAAAAAGGAACTCTCGAAAAATGATTAACTTTCCACATAGAAGAAAATTAAAACTTAAACTCAATCAGATGGGAAACACTTCTAATAACGAGTGGGTGATTTAAAAACCGTACCTATTACAAAAGTCTTAAGGAATTCGGTGAAGACTAAAAACAGACGTGTGCACGTTTCTCTTATCATGCCTTTGGAATGAATCCTAACAAATATCGGCGTAACACTGAGGGTAAATCTTCTTTTCAATTGACTGGGAAAACAAGAAATAGATAAAACAGTCATCTTAAAGCCACAGGAACAGATGTTATCGGTACATCGCAGACTCGCCATGTTACAGCGAGATGGAAGCAGGAAGGAGAACAACAACGCACACTGTGTGGACAATTATCGGTAGACCTTGCCGTTATATATAATTATGCATTTCTGTTTGTCTCGCTGAATCGGTAGATTGAGAGCATACAGGCTACATCATACACGCATACCCAAGTATTTGGAATATCAATAAAGACTTGATGCACTATTATTATGTCAGGAGTACTGGGCTGTTGACCGCTGCAACATCGAAACCTTTTTGTATTAAGTAGGCGAGGTCAGATCTTCTTCGTCACTTGTGATTCAGTGCTATTGATCCAAAGGTTTAATATATGAACTACCTGTCGTAATTAAACTGCATCTATGTACAGCATACGATAGTTCCTTCATATAGATATACCGGTAAGGTCGATGGTACGTACCTGTATTATACATGTATATCCTACTCCAGTTTATAATAAGTTCTTGTTTAGTTATAAGGAAATCAGCGGGGCTAGACTGGGATTCGAACCATTGACTTCAGATTGATGTACTATCGCTCTAACTGTTAAGCTACAAATGTTCCTTGTCAACAGAAACTGTGCAACAGTTATAATCCAAACGGAAGTTAAGGGGAGGTTACTGTATATAGGAAAAAAACACATTGCAGTTGGACGGGCATCCTTAAGTGTATCTAAAGATCTTACGTACACTTCAGCATATACTCTGAGTTTTATTAGCAAATACTTGAATTCGCGATTTTTAATGCTAGTAAGTATCGACGGAATTAATATTTGCAGAACGTATTCAAATCAAGGATCCCTATTTCATAGACTGGCCCCCGTCTCTAGAATATTATATATATATTAAATTATTTAGAAAACAAATTAACTCTCATAGTTTTGATCACTTGGATGTCTGATTCTTTAGTTCCTAAGTTCTAAACTAAGGGGAGATAAGTAGTTAAATGCAGTTGAGAAATTATTCATACAAACTTAGGGGCTGGTAGCCAGTCTACCTATTCCATTTCACTGTGATTTTTCTGTTTTTAAAGTAAACTCCCCTTAATTTTGATTTGCACAGTTGGGCCTGAACACTTCAGGTTAACAGCTAGGTAATTTGGTTAGAGCGATATTATAACAAACTGAAGTCCTGGGTTCGGATCCTGGTCTAGTGCCGCTGATTATTATATTTTGTTTATTTCATCTTCATCATTTTTCAATTAAAGTTGTACCGGAAAAAAAGCAGTCTCCAGTTGTTCGAGTTTTTCGCAGCGGTACGAAGATCATGGTGGTAGGGCCCGCATTAGTTTATCTCATGCATACACGGGGATTAGTTCTTTCTTAGATCATCAAATGATAGGCCCTACCATGTATATGGTTTTACAAAATCACGACAGTTTAGATCTTCATCAGTACACGATAATTTAAACCCAATTAAGTTGTTAGGACCACTTCAACATAAGCAAGGTACATTGTAGGTTCTGCAGTTTCAGTGGCCTTAGGCCTCTTTGAATTGCATCTATGTACAGATAATGATCCATAATTGACAAAGTGTGCCTGTTCATAAATAGGATCTACGTGATAACACTTGTGTGGTTACTGTAAGATACCCCCTCCGTGCATACTTGACCTTTTGACCTAGCCGATTTTCAGGTAGGGGGATCCGACGTATGTATCAGCTGTATATAGAGTAAGTATAGTTCGGGAGTAGGAGGCGGAGGCGGGGGAAGCGTCTAAACTAAGATTATATATAATCATATCGGTATATCAGGGGTTCACTTGATACATCTCTCGACGCTGAGTATGTGAAATTTGTATTGTACAATGTCCAAGCAATAACGCATGCAAGTAAACAGTCAGATCGACGGATTTGATTGCTTCAAAAAGAATAACTTTTCCACCGGAAGAAAGAAATAATTGCAAGGAAATATACCAATGACAGTATACTTTAGAAATTATTAAAGGGGCTGGTCGGGGAAAAAATGTCATATTTGCTAAAATGGCATACACATGTTTAAAATACCTTCTTGTGAAATATACCGATTAAAATTTTGCTGAAATTGACTCCCTAAGAGTAAAAATTATGATTATATTAAAGAAATCCTAAATCGTCACCTGACAGTCTAAAACTCTCAATTGACCCAGGTCAGTGATGTAATTTTACCACACGCGCATTATTAACAAGGCCAAATGTAAACATCGCGGCGAAAGAAAAAGATGCATGCAAAAGTCGTGACAGACACGAGGTATCAATATCGTTATACATAACAACAACATATAGGTAGGAATACTACACTTGCATCATACATGACCTTTGAAAACAACTATTTACTTTTATAGTATTGCTGTCTTGTCCGCTAGTTGAGTCCGACATGGCACATGACGGCGTGCTATTGTTGTTATCTTCACTGCCTCACTTTCGAAACAACCACGTGACATATTATAACTAGATCTGCACTAAATTTACGCGGGGCTTCCCCGGTCAAAACTGGACATGAACTCGACCATCATATTGCCGTGGTATAACTTTTGGAAGGCCAGAGAACGCATTTAAACCCATTTATTTTGTATTTTTTTCCCCGACCAGCGCCTTTAAAAAAATATCTTAATTTTCTACGGTGTAACAAAATGTTACTGATTTCAATGTATTAATATAACTATGACAGTGACCGTAATTTTAATAAAAAGTGTAACCGACATCCCCCCTCCTATTTTTGCTCTTACATTTCTAAGTTATGCATACTGATTGATAACAGGATGTCCTCCTTGTCAGCATGTCCTAGTTGTCCTGTGTTGATATGTCCTAGTTGTCCTGTGTTGCCATGTCCCATGTGTGTTGTGATGAGATGTCCTAACTGTCCTGTGTTGACATACCCTAGCTGTCCTGTATTGACATAACCTAGCTGTCCTGTGTTGACATAACCTAGCTGTCCCGTAATGACATGTCCTAGCCGTCCTGTGTTGCCATGTCCCATATGTCCTGTGATGACATGTCCTAACTGTCCTGTGATGACATGTCCTAACTGTCCTGTGTTGCCATGCCCTAGCTGTCCCGTAATGACATGTCCAAGCCGTCCTGGGTTGCCATGTCCCATGTGTCCTGTGATGACATGTCCTAACAGTCCTGTGTTGACATAACTTAGCTGTCCCGTAATGACATGTCCTAGCTGTCCTGTGTTTGCATGTTATAGCTGTCCTGTGTTTGCATGTTATAGCTGTCCTGTGTTTCCATGTCCTAGCTGTCCTGTGTTTCCATGTCCTAGCTAACCTGTGTTTGCATTTCCTAGCGGTCCTGTATTTCGATGTCCTAGCTTTCCTGTGTTTCCATGTTCTAGCTGCCCTGTGTTGCCGTGTCCTAGCTGCCCTGTGTTGACATAATCTAGCTGTCCCGTAATGACATGTTCTAGCTGTCCTGTGTTGCCATGTCCTAGCTGTCCTGTGTTGCCGTGTCCTAACTGCCCTGTGTTGACATAATCTAGCTGTCCTGTGTTTCCATGTCCTAGCTGTGCTGTGTTGACATAACCTAGCTGTCCCGTAATGACATGTTCTAGCTGTCCTGTGTTGCCGTGTCCTAGCTGCCCTGTGTTGACATAAACTAGCTGTCCTGTGTTTCCATGTCCTAGCTGTCCTGTGTTGACATAACCTAGCTGTCCCGTAATGACATGTCCTAGCAGTCCTGTGTTTGCCTGTTCTAGCTGTCCTGTGTTTGCATGTTCTAGCTGTCCAGTGTTTCCATGTTCTAGCTTTCCTGTGTTGCCGTGTCCTAGCTGCCCTGTGTTTACATACCCTAGCTGTCCCGTAATGACATGTTCTAGCTGTCCTGTGTTCCATGTTCTAGCTGTCCTGTGTTGCCTTGTCCTAGCTGCCCTGTGTTGACATAACCTAGCTGTCCCGTAATGACATGTTCTAGCTGTCCTGTGTTCCATGTTCTAGCTGTCCTGTGTTGCCTTGTCCTAGCTGCCCTGTGTTGACATAAACTAGCTGTCCTGTGTTTCCATGTCCTAGCTGTCCTGTGTTTCCATGTTCTAGCTGTCCTGTGTTGCCGTGTCCTAGCGGTCCTGTGATGACATGTCCTAACTGTCCTGTATTGCAATGTCCTAGCTGTCACGTGGTGACATGTCCCATGTGTCCTGTGTTGACATACCCTAACTGTCCTGTGTTGCCATGTCCTAGCTGTCCTGTGTTGACATAACCTAGCTGTCCCGTAATGACATGTCCTAGCCGTCCTGTGTTGCCGTGTCCTAGCTGTCCTGTGATGACATGTCCTAGCAGTCCTGTGTTTGCATGTTCTAGCTGTCCTGTATTTGCATGTTCTAGCTGTCCTGTGTTTGCATGTTCTAGCTGTCCAGTGTTTCCATGTTCTAGCTTTCCTGTGTTGCCGTGTCCTAGCTGTCCTGTGTTTACATACCCTAGCTGTCCCGTAATGACATGTTCTAGCTGTCCAGTGTTTCCATGTTCTAGCTTTCCTGTGTTTCCATGTCCTAGCTGTCCTGTGTTGACATAACCTAGCTGTCCTGTAATGACATGTCATAGCTGACTGTGTTTCCATGTCCTAGCTGTCCTGTGTTTCCATGTCCTAGTCGTCCTGTGTTTCCATGTCCTAGCTGTCCTGTGTTTCCATGTCCTAGCTGTCCTGTGTTGCAATGTCCTAACTGTCCTGTGTTTCCATGTTCTAGCTGTCCTGTGTGTAAATAACCTATCTGTCCCGTAATGACATGTCATAGCTGACTGTGTTTCCATGTCCTAGCTGTCCTGTGTTGACATAACCTAGCTGTCCCGTAGTGACATGTCCTAGCTGTCCTGTGTTTCCATGTCCTAGCTGTCCTGTGTTTCCATGTTCTAGCCGTCCTGTGTTTCCATGTCCTAGCTGTCCTGTGTTGACATGCCCTAACTGTCATGTGTTGCCATGTCCTAGCTGTCCTGTGTTTACATAACCTAGCTGTCCCGTAATGACATGTCCTAGCTGTCCGGTGTTTCCATGTTCTAGCTGTCCTGTGTGCAAATAACCTATCTGTCCCGTAATGACAGGTCATAGCTGACTGTGTTTCCATGTCCTAGCCGTCCGGTGTTTCCATGTCCTAGCTGTCCTGTGTTGCAATGTCCTAACTGTCCTGTGTTTCCTTGTTCTAGCTGTCCTGTGTGTAAATAACCTATCTGTCCCGTAATGCCAGGTCATAGCTGACTGTGTTTCCATGTCCTAGCCGTCCGGTGTTTCCATGCCCTAGCTGTCCTGTGTTGCCATGTCCTAGCGTTCCTGTGTTTTCCTGTTCTAACTGTCCTGTGTTTGTATGTCCTAGCGGTCCTGTGTTTTCCTGTTCTAACTGTCCTGTGTTTGTATGTCCTAGCGGTCCTGTGTTTTCCTGTTCTAGCTGTCCTGTGTTTCCAGGTCCTAGCTGTCTTGGTTTCCATGTTCTAGCTGTCCTGTGTTGACATAACCTAGCTGTCCCATAATGACATGTTCTAGCTGTCCTGTGTTTCCATGCCCTAGTTGTCCTGTGTTGCCATGTCCTGTCCTGTGTTGCCATGTCCTAGCTGTCCTGTGTTGACATACCCTAGCTGTTCCGTAATGACATGTTCTACCTGTTCTAACTGTCCTGTGTTTGCATGTCCTAGCGGCCCTGTGTTTTCCTGTTCTAGCTGTCCTGTGTTTCCATGTCCGAGCTGTCTTGGTTTCCATGTTCTAGCTGTCCTGTGTTGCCATGTCCTAGCGGTCCTGTGTTTTCCTGTTCTAACTGTCCTGTGTTTGCATGTCCTAGCGGTCCTGTGTTTTCCTGTTCTAGCTGTCCTGTGTTTCCATGTCCTAGCTGTCCTGGGTTTCCATGTTCTAGCTGTCCTGTGTTGCCATGTCCTAGCGTTCCTGTGTTTTCCTGTTCTAACTGTCCTGTGTTTGTATGTCCTAGCGGTCCTGTGTTTTCCTGTTCTAACTGTCCTGTGTTTGTATGTCCTAGCGGTCCTGTGTTTTCCTGTTCTAACTGTCTTGTGTTTGCATGTCCTAGCGGTCCTGTGTTTTCCTGTTCTAGCTGTCCTGTGTTTGCATGTCCTAGCTGTCCTGTGTTTGGATGTCCTAGCGGTCCTGTGTTTTCCTGTTCTAGCCGTCCTGTGTTGACATGCCCTAACCCTAGCTGTCCCGTAATGACATGTCCTAGCTGTCCTGTGTTGCCATGTCCTAGCTGTCTTGGTTTTGATGTTCTAGCTGTCCTGTGTTGCCATGTCCTAGCTGTCTTGGTTTTGATGTTCTAGCTGTCCTGTGTTGCCATGTCCTAGCTGTCTTGGTTTTGATGTTCTAGCTGTCCTGTGTTGCCATGTCCTAGCTGTCCTGTGTTGACAAAACCTAGCTGTCCCGTAATGACATGTCCTAGCTGTCCTGTGTTTCCATGTCCTAGCTGTCCTGTGTTTGCATGTCCTATCTGTCCTGTGTTTGCATGTCCTAGCTGTCCTGTGTTTTCATGTCCTAACTGTCCTGTGTTTTCATGTCCTAGCTGTCCTGTGTTTGCATGTCCTAGCGGTCCTGTGTTTTCCTGTTCTAGCTGTCCTGTGTTTCCATGTCCTACCTGTCTTGGTTTCCATGTTCTAGCTGTCCTGTGTTGCCATGTCCTAGCTGTTCTGTGTTGACATAATCTAGCTGTCCCGTAATGACATGTTCTAGCTGTCCTGTGTTTCCATGCCCTAGTTGTCCTGTGTTGCCATGTCCTAACTGTCATGTGTTGACATAACCTAGCTGTCCCGTAATGACATACCCTAGCTGTCCCGTAATGACATGTTCTAGCTGTCCTGTGTTTGCATGTTATAGCTGTCCTGTGTTGCCATGGCCTAGCTGTCCTGTGTTGTCATGTCCCATATGTCCTGTGTTGCCATGTCCTAGTTGTCCTGTGTTGCCATGTCCCATGTGTCTTGTGATGAGATGTCCTAACTGTCCCGTGCTGACATACCCTAGCTGTCTCGTAATGACAGGTCCTAGTTGTCCTGTGTTTGCATGTTCTTACTGTCCTGTGTTGCCATGTCCCATGTGTCTTTTGATGAGATGTCCTAACTGCATACCCTAGCTGTCCCGTAATGACATACCCTAGCTGTTGACATACCCTAGCTGTTCCGTAATGACATGTCCTAGCTGTCCCGTAATGACATACCCTAGCTGTCCCGTAATGACATACCCTAGCTGTCCCGTAATGACATACCCTAGCTGTTCCGCAATGACATGTCCTAGCTGTTCCGTAATGACATGTTCTAGCTGTCCTGTGTTGACATAACCTAGCTGTCCCGTAATGACATGTCCTAACTGTCCTGTGTTTCCATGTCCTAGCTGTCCTGTGCTGACATACCCTAGCTGTTCCCTGTAATGACATGTTCTAGCTCCTGTGTTGACATAACCTAGCTGTCCCGTAATGACATGTCATAGCTGACTGTGTTTCCATGTCCTAGCTGTCCTGTGTTTTCATGTCCTAGCTGTCCTGTGTTTCCATGTTCTAGCTGTCCTGTGTTGCAATGTCCTAACTGTCCTGTGTTGACATAATCTAGCTGTCCCGTAATGACATGCCCTAGCTGTCCTGTGTTGCCATGTCCTAACTGTCCCGTAATGACATGTTCTAGCTGTCCTGTGTTGACATAATCTAGCTGTCCCATAATGGCATGTTCTAGCTGTCCTGTGTTTCCATGTCCTAGCTAACCTGTGTTGCCATGTCCCATGTGTCCTGTGAAGACATGTTCCATGTGTTCTGTGTTGACATACCCTAACTGTCCTGTGTTGACATGTCCTAGCTGTCCCGTAATGACATGTTCTAGCTGTCCTGTGTTACCATGTCCTAGCTGTCACGTGGTGGCATGTCCCATGTGTCCTGTGATTACATGTCCTAACTGTCCTGTATTGACATGTCCTAATTGTCCTGTGCTGACTTATCCTAGCTTTGCTGTCTTAACATGTCCTAAATGTCCTGTGATTACTTATCCTAGCTATGCTGTCTTTACATGTCCTATATGTAAATGTCCTGTGATAAAATATATCCTAGCTGTCCAGTGTTGACATGTCCAAGCTATAATTTGCTGGTATGTCCTAGCGATCCTATTTTGACATGACCTACATGGTGCTGTCCTGTATTGACCTGTCTTTACTGTCCTGAGATAATTTATCTCAATTGTCCCCTGTTGACAAGCATAAGCATCATCTACCTTCAGATGTAAGGGACATATGATTTACATAAAACGTAATGATTAGTTTTTCTCGTGTAACTCCAATTTTTGAGAGAGCATCAATTTGAAGCTTACATGCATTAATTAAACAAACATATAATGTCGATCATATAATTTAACGAACATGTCAGATATTTCAAACATTTGAGAAACTAGAAAGAAAATGTACACAAATTCTTCAGAAATTTATATCAGTGTAGGGTAACTTATTTTTAAGTTGTCTTCTTGCGATAACATCTCGAGTTTCTATGACGTTGTTCCTTATTAAACAAAGTGAATTGCACTGTAAATGAATATCAGGTACCGCGTCAATCGGAAAATTACTCGATTATTTCCCTCAGAAAAATACACACCAGATGGCAAAATGCCCGAGTGATTCCGAAGGGGTCTACCAATGTTTCGGTAGACGCAGTGACCCAGGCTATCACGCCTGGATCAAAATTCTTTGTTACACCTCAAGTGAATTTCTAGCTATTTGATTGGTTGGGAGAAAATTAAACAAAAATCTCTGTCACACTCCGAAAATACATTGGTTGTAAGGGGCGCAGGTGATATTGCCATGAGACAGTGAAAAATATCACATTCGCGAGAAATGTGCGTTCACCGCTTCGTTTCCCCACCGTGATGGTCACAATAACGTTTGACGGCAACAGCCAATTTTATCAAGCGCCGGTGCGATAGCGATTGTAAACAGCAGACTATCAACAAACAAGATGTCATTATCGAGGTTTGCTGCCGTTTCTGAGCTACAAAGACTTTTGGTGTAACAAAATAGATATGACATTCATTTGCAGGTGACAGTGAATATTGTCAATTTTTCCTCTGAAGATATGTGTTCTAGATATGGTGTGTTCTCCTTTCTCCCACTTTTAAAAACCCCCATAGAGGCAGTAATGTTGTGATAGCAGTTATAGTTTATTATTGTTTCATATATATTTTACCTGGTTTTTACCTGTGTTCTACCACATTACCTGTATCATTTAATTATACAGTACTGTCATATACATGTAGCTTTGATAAAGTCTATTTTCATAATTTTTATTCATTTTTTTCATATCATATACCATTTTCATCTATACAAAACATACAAAACAGTATCATGTATCTTTGTGCATGTGTGCAATTTATGAATAAGATTGATTTGATCAATCAATGTTTAGTGTTCCATGTGTACATGTAATTAATTTTGTTTTATTTACTTTCATTCCCAGCTTTGCATCTGTTTTTGCATACAGTATACATGACCTCTATCTGTACTGATTATATTTGTTATAAATTGCTTGCTAAATCTAGTTCTATTTTATGAAATATATATATATAACATACATGTAAATGTGTAGTAAAAATGTATAAAATTGATTTAATATGAACTTGATAAAAGCAGGTTTTCAATTAATGTATTTTGATGTGTTTTTATTAAGTAAAAACTGGAATCTTGTATATATTAACTTATAATTCCAGTAAATATTACGAAAATCAGGAAATATATTTGTTAAATATTCCTATAACCAACACAGTATTTCCTATTGGTGAACAGGTAATACAGGTAAATAATCTACCTGTACTATACCAGAACAGACTATAATGACACATCTATTGTTTTCCAGTGTTTATATAATTCCTTTTATCTGAAAAAAGTGGGAGAAAGGAGAGCAAACCCTAGATATATTGAGAATAATTTTGGAGAATAAATCAGAATTCAAAACGCTACGAATTATTAATATTAACGAGTAAAAAGTATAGATTGGTAGTTGAATTTTATTGGGTCGATCGCCGGTTACCAGGTAGCTCAATTGGTAAGAGCGTCTATCTAGATTTCGACGGTCCTGGGTTCGAATCCTGGTCTGGCCTTGATTTTTTTCTTCTCCTGTTACATTTTAAGCTTGAGTGGCAAAAACGAGGCTACTGGAAAATTTAAACGCAATGGAGGTGTTTGATTTTGGTAACCAGTTGATTAAATCCTATTTTAAACAGAAGAGGAAGAGAAGAAGAAAAGAAAGAAAAGAAGAAGAAGTAGCGCCTGCCTAACCGGTCGGCTGGCCGGTGTGTGTATGTGTGACCTCTAGTAGCTTAATTCACATTACCTGTTGGTTAAGACAATTAGTGTTGTTGATTACATTTTTCAATAATACAAAACAAAAATCGGTTTATTCAATAATTCATACAAAATTTGTTTTTTTTATATCATTGGGAACATATCAGAGATATTCGAAACTGGATATGATACTCGTTTTGATATGTAAAAAACGTCATTTAAAGTTCGCTGTGAATCGAGGAACTCTGTCAACTTGTTCAATTCACTTTCAAATATTTTATAAATGTCTCTTTAAAACATTTCTTAATTAACGTTTAACAGAAAACATGATCACATTTAAAACATTTTCTCAGAAGAGTTTGTTTTTTCTAGTTCATGTAATTGAAATGTACGCGTTATAACTCTTTGATAGCGTTTTATATGCAAGAGGTCTGCTTGGCCTGCATTCCTTACCTATTGCTCAATGCGCTGATCGCACACACTTTTTTCATTTGTAACCGTGAAGGTATGTTAAGGTCAAATTCATTTAACCCAATTAATAGCAAGAAAGCTTACACTACAGCTTAAGTAACATGACTCTACAGCTGACGAATGACTGTCGGAAAATGTTAACATTATCTACTCATGGACCTTTTAAAATTGGTCAAGATAACTTAATTTTAGCAAGCAAATGTGCTGTAATAGAGTGCATGCTTAATCTTTAAGGACCTCTAGAAAAAGTTGGTTAAGCTTGATCACACATTTGGTCACGGTTACCAATATTGGTCACAGTCATAAGTTCGGACAAAGTTGATAGCCCTTAAAACCAGAAAGCTACCAGATAAATAGCATACTCTAGAATACACGTCCTTAAATGACATAAGCTGTTTGTAGGACGCTAAACGAAATAAAAACATACTCTAGATCTCTATACGTGTTCTTTAAAGATTTTAACACGTCATTACTTTTAAATAAATGTATGACATTTGTTAAAATCTAAACCGAAGAAGAAAAAAACATTTGTTTCTATAAAACTTGTCAATCTATAGAAAAAGTCTCCTGAATATTTGAACATATTTGACTGCTATGACCTTGAAGGGGATTATCTTGACCATGGACCTCTTAAGGAGCAATGCTCGACTGTTTTAACACGTTTTACCCATGAAGTTTCGAATAATTAAGGAAGTCAGTGTCGTTTCTGTTCGCAAAATTTAATTGTAGCACTCTTTGTCAGAGAGAAACTGGCTAAATATCCCGACCTGATAACAACACATAGTATTGCCTTTTACTCATTAAACCATGAAAAGATAAAATTGGGATGGAGGACAGAGTTCTAACTTCAAGTGAGCAGAATCGCCAAATTATCATCGGGAACCCCATATTTTTTATGCTTACCAATACCGCCTGTCTTCTTTAAAAAATTTTACGAAATTGGCATAGGTTTTGATAATATTTTAGCTTGTTTTTATCGTAATTGTTAGATGCAAATTTATCAAAATTGCATTTTGAAGTGTAACGATTATCACGAAAAAATTAAAATGCTGAAATAGAACAAATATAATGAATCTATTCAATGAATATTTCATTTTGTTCATGATAATGACTTTAAATATTTGGTAAAAAATCTTTTGACAACTACATATCTGCACTCAAAATGTTATGGAACAGGAAACGCACTGTTAATTTTATTTGGCAATATTTCGACTCAATGCAACTACCAAATGTTACCTGTTTCATTTGCCCATGAATTTCACCAGATTAACATTGCCTGTGCGTAGGAATACATATTTTGAGATTATGCAAAGGGAGATAACTATTGACATTTTTTTAGCACAACTTGTACAGAAAGAAGATACCACTGGTATGAGATTTATATTATTTCGAAAAAAAACCAAGGGAAATAATGTACATAATATTTCAAATATATATATATATATTTTTTTGTAGCATTATGGTCATTTTTAGTCATTCAAGTATATTTTCACATCAACACGAGATCTTGTGAATGCTGTCGTCTGCTGCAACCATGGCAAACAAATATGGCCAGTTCACTGTCGAATAGTCCCAAAGTCTCAAGAAAGTGACAACCCTCTTAGTTATTCTGACACAGAACTACTCCTGGACATGCTTCTTGAAGTTGAACATGTAAGCGTAACAGAAGAAGAAAAAGTCAGGGGAATAATCAGTGACCAAATGGCATCATTAACAAAGACCCACCTTTCCCAGACAAAATAGAAAGTGAGCTGTCGATGGCAGCTCTGGATGGTATCCTCGTGTTACCGGTTTCCGCGCACTATTAAGCAGCCGCGATTTCGTACTCATATCGGCAGAAAACTGTTGAAATTACGGATGACTGTCATAAACATATACACAATCTACTAATAGAAACAAAAAACTAGCAACATAAAACAGTATTTAAAAA